GGTGTATGTGTTCCAGGCATCTTGAGACATTTGAAAGTGCCAGATGTTTATCCGGGGCAGTTTGGAAATACATCTGTGTGTCATCAGCATATGTGTGGAAGCTGATGTTATGGCTCCTCAGTATTTGTCCCGGGGGCAACATGTAAATTAAAAAGAGCAGTGGCCCAAGGACTGACCCTTGGGGTACACCAGAGGTGACACAGTGTGTGTCGGAGGTGCTTTTTCCAAGACGGACATATTCCTGTCTTCCTGTGAGGTACGAGTGGAAAAAGTCCAGAGCCTTGCCAGCGATTCCCACCTCCTGGAGTCGCCGACACATGATGCGATGGTCAACAGTGTCAAATGCTGCACTTAAGTCCAGCAAGATGAGTAGGCTTGGGGAACCAGAGTCAGCCGCCATCAGCAGGTCATTTAGAACCCTGACCAGAGCTGTTTCAGTGCTGTGAGCTGGTCTGAAACCAGACTGGAAGGTTTCATAGAGCTCATGAGTATGGAGATGTTCGTGAAGCTGAAGGGCAACAACTTTTTCCAGAACTTTTGCTAGAAAAGGCAGGTTTGAGATGGGGCGGTAGTTTGTGAGTACCTCAGGATCCAGATTGTGCTTCTTCAGGACAGGTGTGATGGCTGCCAGCTTGAGGGGGGGGGGACCTCACCACTCAACAAGGATTTGTTAATTATGATGGTGGCAGTTGGAATAATGGATGGAGAGCAGGCTTTCAGTAGGGAGGTGGGGATAGGATCAAGGGCGCAGCTAGATGAGGTCATAGCTGAGATAATTTTTGAAAGCTCAGCTTGCGTGACCTCCGTGAAGCAGTTTAGGATTGGTGCATTTGGTGGAGCAAGTACAGGATGTTGGGGAGAGACAGGTTGGTTTGAGGAGGCTTTGGCGATGTTAAGCCTGATGTTTTCAATTTTTGTTTTCAAAACTTCCATAAAGCGGTTGCAGTCATGAGTTGTAGGAGTGGTTGATGAGGGATCACTAGGTTTGAGCAACCGATGTATTGTGGAGAATAGGTGCTTGGGTTTGTTTCGATTAGTCTCAATCAGATTGGAGGAGTAGGCTGACCTGGTTGCTCTCAATGCCGAGGAATAGGCCTTCTGGTGATCTCTAAAAGAGGGCAGTTTTTGCGTCTGGAGAAAACCCGGTCCACTCTGAAGGGATCTACTGATAGATGTTATAAGGCCTGGCAGCCATTGATCACACACGCAGACAAGTGCAAGCTGGACTTAACTCTTTAAAGAAGAGTGTGTATAGGTTTGAGTGTTGCTGAATCTGAGCTGCTACCATTTCTAAAGCATATTGTAAATGTTGTATATATTTTGTCTTTTTGTTTGTCGTTTGCTTTGTATGTTTTTATTTATTTAACTGTTGTGTCAATCGTGAGAACGTGTACACTTATCTCATTTACTCTGTTTTTTATTTATATATTTTTCTTTCATATTGGGGTATATTTGATCTGCTTTTTGGCAGTCTGGTTTAAATGTGCACTGTTGCATCTACGGCAGGCATCCTCAAAGTCCGGACTCCGGTCCGGATCCGGACCGAACCACTACTGTCTCTGGACTCTGAGCAAATTATACTTTTCATATGTATTATCTGTGTTATCTGCGAGACATCGCCACAACGCAACGAGTCAAAATTCTCCGCTATGTCCACTGCAAACAGCGCTCTGCATGTACGACTGTTCCACTGTCTGTGTGTGTCTGTCAACGCATTGGTCCAATCACATTCAGCATCCCGTCAGCGTTTTTTACCCCACCAACAGTCTGCGAATCAGAGGCACAGTAGGGCGGGTCTTCGCGGAATGCGGGTGGGAAAAATGCGTGTGTTTAAAAAAAAAGTCAGAGCGAGAGTTAACAGCTCATCTAGTTGCATCTGTACTGTAGCTAGTAGCCTAGTTTCACCTACCGGGGTGGCATGGGGTGGCAACTGCCACCCTAAAAATAGGCCTTGCCACCCCAGCTGCCACCCCAGTTGGCAGCTTTGTTTTGAAAGAAAAGTTGTGGCTCATCGGACATATGAGAGAGAAAATCTCTAATGTCCGAGTGCAAGTGAATGCAGCACAAGACGCACGTCTTGTAACCCCTCCCCCGGCCCTGATTTCATTTGAACTGGACGGCGCAAAACGAGAAGCATTCGGACCCAAGTACTGAAGGAATGAGGTATTTGCAGTCTACAATGACAGAGAAGAGACTGTCAGTGTGGCTGTACTCAGCATTGAATCAAAACGCACTAAAGCTGTTGATCTTAATAAGTTTGTGAGGCGTTTTGCTGAACAAGATGGTAATCGCCGCATTCAGCTGTAATAGACATGTCAACATGATGCTCTGCTCATGGATGAGCATACAAAACTGTTAAGATGATGACCTTACGTGTGTAATTATATATTTGTCTTTGTGGGGGTCTGCCCCCAAAAACAGTTTTAAGTCCTGAGAAAGTCAAATAAGACGGTGTGTAAAACTACACTGCCCAGAAAAAAAAAAGTAACCACTTTGATTTAACTAGGCCAGTAGGTAAGGACTCTCCACTGGATAATAACTGAAGTATAAAAGAATGCATGACTGAAGTGATGGAGACCATGTTTGAAGGCAAACAAAAAGAGGAAAGAACAGGTCAAATCAAGCAAAGCCCCCTCTCAGATTCCACAGCAACCAGAAGAACATAAATACTGGCTGGTGATTTGATGAATCAGCTTTGTGATGGAATAAAAAATGCACAGTGCATTTCCTTAGCTGTGGATGAGTCCACTGACACCACTGACAATGCTCAGTTGCTGGTGTTGGTGAGTTTTTATGATGAGGCAAAGGGGGAGTTTGTTGAAGATGTGTTGGGCCTGACGAACCTCAGTGGACACACAAGGGGGCAAGACATTTATAAAGCAATAATGGGAATGCTGAATGAAAGAGGGTGCAGCTGCCTTTATTCATAACTGTGCAGCTCTCACACTGCGACTCTGAGGGATCAAGCACAGACACAATAACAATGAAAACGGCTGCATACAGAGACTTTTTGTTTTTGCAACCTCGTGTTAAGAATCTTGTTGCAATTGTTTAAAAGACCGTAATAAACGGACCTTTGTCTTATTGAAACCATTTTTTTGGACCTTTAAGATTTGTATTTGAGTACCCCTGATCTACAGTATGTATTTGACGGCTCAATGACATTCTGTAGGATTTTTCTTTGTAATGAAAAGTTTCAAAAATAAAGTGTTAAAAAAAAAGAATGGTTCTGTGTTTATTTATAAGGTAAAACATAGTGAACTAGGGGTGGTACATTTCCAGATATTAAAGCTTTGATTGTGCTACAGTCATAATACATCAGATCAGACAGATGTTTAATAAAAAGCTTGTAAATCACTTTAAAAAGCGCTTATTTCCACACACTTTTACGCTTGTTATTGACCTATTTTCTGCCTTTTAGCTCAACGAGGAGCCTCTAGCGATGAACCAGGAATCCCCCTCTGAGGAGTTGGTGCCGCTGAAGAAGCTGCGGACACACATTTCAGACAAACCCAACTATTCTCTCAATCTGTGGAGTATCATGAAGAACTGTATCGACAAAGAGCGGTCCAAAATGTAAGAGGTTACTCCAGATCAGATGTCCCTTACAGGAATTATGTTTGTTGGCATGAACAGAAAGGACTCCACCTTTTCTTTTTCAATTCTTTGTTGCAAGAATGCATTCAGTCAAACAAGGTAACAAGTGTGTTTTAAGATCGCACTGATTGACTTCTGGCACCAAAACATTCATGAGATGCCAGGTCAATCAAAAACACAGATCGTCTTCAGTTCCTGTTGGACAACATTCTGCCAGAGCCATCCAAGTTTCAAATGGCTCTATTGACAGATGAATGGGACCAGTGGTGAACAAGTTGTGGTCAGAGGTCAGAGTGAAACCTACCGATTGATCATCAGGACACATCTCACTGTTCAAACCGCTGATATTACTGCTTGACCTTCTGTAAAGAAATGCAAAAGGGTGAAGAGTATCTGTCAGGGTCTGGGAGGTTTCTGGTTTCAGACACTTCAACATACAAGGAAATAGAGATTGAATTACTTCAACTGATACTAACCGATCCAAATAAATCAAATGTTTCACAGTTAAGGAAGTACCAAGACATCAACCTGAGTGACATACAAGGAACTGAGTTAAAAAAACAGAAGTCTTAAGAGATGAGACAAGGATTAGGGGAATTCTGAGTCACACAAGGTGATGTGTTTCCTTGTGTGACTGTTGAGTAAATAACAGTGTGTTATTTAGAAAAGAATGACAAATTACAAGGAAAACAATATTTAAAAAATACAGATTTCTGTATTCTGAGGCTCTGAGCCATTTATTTTCCTCACGGACGGCAAAAAAAGTCAGACATTATAGAATTTAAAATAAAAACAATATCGTGGCTTGATATTGAGTAACAAAACATTTTAATGAGCCACACAGCTTCTGGTCTTCCAAGACCCGACCGGACAAAAAGACGTGGTGCCGGCACGAAACATACTACCAATAGAAATACATTGCTTTTAAAATCGTTCTGTGTGACACGAAAAAAAGGGGAGAAAAAGGACACCACTTGATGGCTGTATGTTCAGAAACTTTCAAAACCAGAAACAGTACGTATACATCTGTATTTGAATAAAGACTTTCAGCCTATATTTCACTGATTAACACTCATCAAGCATTTCCACTGAGCCATTTTGGTTCTTGTAGTTTACACACACACACACACACACACACACACACACACACACACACACACACACACACACACACACACACACACACTCTCTCGCACACACACACACACACACACACACACACACACACACACACTCTCTCGCACACACACACACACACACACACACACTCACACACACACACACAAACACACACACACACACACACACACACACACACACACTCTCGCACACACATACACATACACACAAGCCATATAGATAGAAACACAGGAAACCATTTTTAATACAAGAATAACCAGACTGAGAAGTTTTCAGGAATGTTTGCGTCAGTCTTTAGGGGCTGGACGAGCAGAAACAGCATAAAAACAGACAGAGCGAGACACAGCGCCACATCAGAGCTGCACCTGCAGGACCAGGACCTTAAGAAAAGCATCAGCTGCCCCGGACCTCCAGGACCAGGACCTAAACAGAAGCATCAGCTGCCCCGGACCTCCTCCAGACGGTGAGTCTCCACTTATGTTTCACCTCACGGTCCTGCATCTCCATCAGGAAGTCTCCTGTGACTCGGTGCAGGGACCAGACTGCTCAGAAACACAGAGAATCCTGAAGAGAGATCCGTGTGAATGCTGAATGCTGAGCTTTCTGAGTAACGTACGGGGAGCAGGTAGCAGCTGAAGTCTTAAAGGTGGGGTAGGTAATTTTGGAGAAACCGGCTCGAGTGCGCTAGAATTTGAAAATACACAGCCGGAGAAAATCTGCCACTTCCTCACAGAGCCCCTCCTCCAAAACACATGAACGCGCACATGACCAATGAGGGCACGAGATAAGTTTGTGCACAGATGGAAGGCTGACAGGCAGGTAGGCCATCCAGTCATTTCAGCCGGGCCGGCTCAGATGATTGGTCGTGCTCTTTACAGTACTACAGCTTCCACAGATGATATTTCTTTATGGATTTCTTGTCAAAGCACTTCAGATATTCATTGCTATCTGGATGTTAAGAGCATTCCATGGAATATAACAACAAGTGTATCTCGAGCCAGTTTCTCAAACTTACCTACCCCACCTTTAACAGTTTCTCCATTGACTTCTGAAGTGAAACGTGGATGAATTATGGTGAATATTATTCATAGCATTCCTAACTGAGATTAACGTTTTGATGTTTGAACCGAGTTTGTGGGTTGAAGAGGTGGAAGTAGTTAAGGTACAGAAAAGTGTACAGAAGACTAATAGAGGTAAAGACTTTTTGCTGTAGAAGAACGTACATAGTAAAACTTAATAAGTTGTGGTAACTTTAAAAAAGTAAGCAAACTCAATGCCTCACAATAACTAAGGTAAGTTAGTATGGTGAGTAGGAACAACTTGTTTATTAAGTACAAACACAACACTTTTAAGTTGCAAAAAAACATTCATTGCATTAACTTAAAGGTCACCTATCATGCTTTCATACATAAATATGTGTCCCCGTGTGTCAGGAGACTCACAAAGGGGCGTGGCCAGCAGCAGCTCAGGTACGTTGGAAGCTACTGACCCAGAATCAGCTCTTTAGTCACAGGCCTGAAATAGAGGGGGATGAGGCTGCAATGATCTGTTTGGGCTTTGGAGCAAAGCACTTCAGAGACATGTTTTTTATATCTCTGAAACCTATAATATATGCCTAAAAATAGTATAACAGGAGACCTTGAACATATACCAAACAGTTGGCTTTATTGCTAGGTTCAATAAGTGAACAAAATGCACTTTAAACATGTCATGCAGGAGTAAGACAATGATTTAAGTAGGTACCTCCATATGATTATTGTGAATACATGATTAAAGGTTTTAGCCTAACTCTCTGAAACATGATGTCACACATCACTTGTGGATTGTTATATTTTATAAATCTAAAAGTGTTCATTCATCTGAAGCACTTTGAGAGCATTATCAATAGGATATAAATATTGTGTGCTCTTGTAACAAGTGTGTGCATTTGTAAAGCATTGAAACAGAAACATACTGATTGTATAACTATTAACGCTAACGACACAGAAAGAAAGTTACATCTCCACATCACGGTGGAATTGGCATTACTCCTGAAGTTACTCGTGCACAGTGCTGCCCCTGACAGAGTTGGCCCGTTCTTTACATAACGTGTGAAAGTGTGTTCATTGGATGACAATAGTGAAGCTGAGGGAAATGATTTCCAGATATGTGTTCAGTTAAAAACCACCAGTACGTCTTCTTATCTCAATGTCTCAGTTTTGCTCACAGCCTCTTTGCATCACTAAACTGGTGACATCAGGGAATCAGTCAGGGAGCATTTGACGGGTTTAGAGAACATTGTTTTGAATCTTCAGGAAGTGTATGAACCACTTCCTGCCGAGGACCCTTCATTGTGTACGCTGTTAATGTGTGTTATCGTGCGTTAACCCGGTGTTTGTGCCTCTTCCTCTGTGCAGAGTCATGAAGCTGCTCCTCCTGCTGGCAGGTAAGCAGCATCGCAGGCTTCACTGTGACAAACAACATGTGTTTGAAAGGCATTATGAATGCATTTCAAAGTCAAGTCCTCTGTGCATAGAGTCACTGCGAGTGTGTAATAGCCCCGCACTACTCTACTGTCTTCTTTGTGCAAATAAACAAAGATAATGTTTGAATGACAGACTTTTAAAACATGTGCTCATCCATGAAATCAATATAAATCTGAACGGGTAGCTCTTATTCAACATGTTGATGGCTTCAGTTAATGAGGGGGTTAGCCTTCAACCACTTGTATTTATGAATGAAACAGAACCCAGATACCCTGTATACATTCACCCTGAAGGAGCACATGCTTTACAGAATAAATAAGTATATCATTATTCACTCATTGCACTGATGAGTGTCACTTCAAGTCAGAGGAGAGACTTCAGGGAACGATGAGTGTTCAGGTTGTTCTTGATGGATGGGTTTCTCCTGGAACTCCTGCAGTTGCTGCCAGCCAGATGGAGCTCTCTGCCTCTCAGACTGTCACTCTGAATGCTCCTGGTGGAAACATCAACATCAGCACCATGCCCATCACTTTCTATGGAAAAACATACACATGGGTACACGTGAGTACAATGAAACCCTGCCTGTGTTTCCTGTGATCATCCAGCACACACACTGACTGCTGATGACTGGTATTATTACACATGTTACACATACTACACGTACTATACATATTACACGTACTACACATACTACACATACTATACATATTACACATACTACACATATTACACGTACTACCCATACTACCCATACTACACATATTACACGTACTACACATATTACACGTACTACACATACTACACATCCTACACATATTACACGTACTACGCATACTACACATATTACACGTACTACACATACTACTCTTACTACTCTTACTACACATATTACACATATTACACATAATAAAGGTATATCTGTGGTTTAGATAAGGTATAGATATTATAGATAACTCACAGTTTAATATGTACTAACTCACAGTTTAATATGTACTAACTCACTGTTTAATATGTACTAACTCACTGTTTAATATGTACTAACTCACTGTTTAATATGTACTAACTCACTGTTTAATATGTACTAACTCACTGTTTAATATGTACTAACTCACTGTTTAATATGTACTAACTCACTGTTTAATATGTACTAACTCACTGTTTAATATGTACTAACTCACTGTTTAATATGTACTAACTCACTGTTTAATATGTACTAACTCACTGTTTAATATGTACTAACTCACAGTCCTCAGAATCAGTCCCTAGTGTGTTTGTCTTGATCTTATTTATATATAGATGTAAGCGGTTTGTTACCTTTCAGCGTGTCAGCCTGTAAATATGGGAGCAAATGAATAATGACATGTTGCTAAAGGCAGAGAATGAATTGAGTATTACACACAAAGTTTAAAGTGTGTGCTTTTTGTGCCAGCTGTTATTTTGGGTATTATAAAAGTTTCCCCTCATATTATTCAATATCAGACGCACTGAGACAGGCTTGGTCCCAGAATGCATCACTGTGAGTCTGGTCCGGAGCTGGAAAGTGAGCGTAACATTTCCCTCTGGGGTCTATGGGGTCTATGGGGTCTATGCGGTCTATGGGGTCTATGGGGTCTATGGGGTCTATGCGGTCTATGGGGTCTATGGGGTCTATGGGGTCTATGGGGTCTCTGGGGTCTATGGGGTCTCTGGGGTCTATGGGGTCTATGGGGTCTATGGGGTCTATGGGGTCTATGGGGTCTATGGAGGTCTATGGGGTCTATGGGGTCTATGGGGTCTATGGGGTCTCTGGGGTCTATGGGGTCTATGGGGTCTATGAGGTCTATGGGGTCTATGGGGTCTATGGGGTCCATGGGGTCTATGGGGTCTATGGGGTCTATGGGGTCTATGCGGTCTATGGGGTCTATGGGGTCTATGGGGTCTATGGGGTATATGGGGTCTATGGGGTCTATGGGGTCTATGGAGGTCTATGGGGTCTATGGGTCTATGGGGTCTATGGGGTCTATGGGGTCTATGGGGTCTATGGGGTCTCTGGGGTCTATGGGGTCTATGGGGTCTATGGGGTCTATGGGGTCTATGGGGTCAGGCACTGATCAGATCAGTTCAATGGAGTGGGGACAGATCATTACTAGAGCCAACAGGAAGTGGTTTGGAGCAGCTGGACGCGTCTCTTTGATTCCACATGTGTCTCTGTATGAAAGGAGACATAAAGACTTGTTGGACAGTGGCTTGTAGAAAGCTTTTTTCCAAAGTGAGAGAAATGTTTTGATCTCATCATTGATCCTATCCTTTTTCTCCGTAGCTCAAAGCACACCTTGCAGCTCAGACATTTGAGGAGATGAGACGATGCTGTTCTGGAGCGAAAGCCTTCATATTGTAGTTCCTTTTTTTGTTTTTGCAGGTCAAGATGGGCAATAAGGATGAAGTTTGTTTAAAAAATGACCCATCTGAGGACGACATTGACTGTGTGGTGACCAGCGACGGGGTGGCTTCAGACAGAGTGATCTACAGAATAGTAAAGACACCAGTTACCCCTCACTCTTCTCTTGTTAACATCAAAACCCAGGGACAGGGTTACTTTTATCTCGAGTTCTATAATGGTTCTACATGGAATGTGAGTCCTGATCCGATCCCTGTTACACACTGACTGGCTGTCCAGCTGTTTGTACAAAATGAACATTTCAAAGACATTGTGTGGCAAAGACAACTTCAAATCAAAGTTTATTTGTAAAATGTTGGAAGCATTTCCTAATATTTCTCTCTCTGTTCCTGCTTTCAGATGTATTGGGAATTCATCAATTATGGGTTGCAAGCTGCTTGCAGGACATATCATCTTGCTCGCCGTCCGTTTTCTGCTAGTTTAGTAAGTATGACATGAGGCTGTTACCTAACCCTAACCCTTCAGCCTCACCGATGTTTAGAGTTACCATTTGTCAGGTCCCGATACCAATGCAATGTTGTCCTGTTTGTTTCTGTGTGCCAGGGAAACTCATATCCTAAATGCTTTCTGTTAGAAAGCTGCTGTCTTCCAGCCTTCCTCACACTCACTCTGAATGAGAACTGATCCCTGAGAAGACTTCTGTACCCTAACCACCCTGAGAAATGAGAACTGAGGCTGTGTGTGATCCATTATTCCTTTGTATCACTATCAGACATCATTCATATGAATACAGAACCAGCTTTCAGTTCAGCATGGATAGGTGAATGGAGAAGATCAAGTGCAGTCTGTTTGCTCCTCTAAGCCTCTCCTTTGAAAACTCTCTTCTTATTTTCACTTCTAAACAGAGATAGGTGTCAGAAATAATGTCATACACAGCCTTAGAGTTTCAGGAAGCAGAAGTCACTCAGCATCATGTGTCTGAAGACAAAGAGAGTTCTTATCAGTGACACATGTAGCTGCTAGCATGCAGAGCTAACGGGGGCTGGACTCACAGCACCAGGGGCTGGTGGTTCTGCTCCTTCCTGCCCTCAAGTGGACAAAGGAGTTCATTAGAAATATCAATCTGGAATAATGAAGGAGCTCACCACTGCTCTCACTGTTACTTCATGTCCTAACATCGGAGGAAATATATCAGAAGTGGCATCTATAGAACACTTTCATTCATGTGTACAGTGTTGAGGTTACCTTTGTTTTCACTGATTGTATTTACTTGTTATTTTAAATGTGTTTTTAAGGTTCAAACATCTGTCCAGGGACTACAGCTGTAAAAGAGCCTCTTGGCTAACTCTGGCACATTTACAGAGATGGTTCTTAGTGTGCAATGTCCCTGTTAAATAAATAATATGCATACAAATACATTCTGTGTAATCCTTTACTAGAACATTTCTACAACAGTCGGTGGCACAGTGATGGATACCTGGGAGCCTCCTGCAGGAACTCATACTTATCGAGACCTGAGTGGATGCAGAGGCTCAGGTAAGCTGGTCTGGGGGTTCCCAAAGAAAGGGGTCCTCCAAGTTAAATGTGATATTAAAACATGTCTGTTGTTTCCCTATCTTAAATTCTGCCTGTAGTTACTGAAGTGTAATATCATTACCTCCATTCTCCTCCAAGGTGGCGCTGTAATGCCGGGTTCAGAGATGCCCAACTTAGGGCCCAGCGCAGAGCCCTGCTCTGTTGAACTCTGTTCTCTGTCTGCAGTCCTCTCTACTGTCACTGCATGTGGGCCCGAGGAGGTTTGCCAAGCGGACAACACGTAAATATGTGCTCTTTATATCAGAACCAAGAACCAGATCTGTGTGGAGGCTGGGTCAGATCACTAGAGCCGTAGAGATACGTTCGCTCTCACGGCCCGTTTTGAGGAGCAGCACGACCCGTTCTCCTGTTGTTTTCATACCAGCTTTCAGGTGTGATCACTACATACTGTAGGCTACACAAGTTTTCATATCAGATCACAAGTGAAATCCTATTGAAAGAGCGCCGGTAGAAAACGGAAAATGACTCAATGATAGCAACATGTACTCATACAAAGCATTTATGGTGAATAATTAAAACGCCGTAACCATCTAATGTTCATATCATGTGTTATATATTTTAAATAAGTTTAATTTAGTTTGTTGGCTCTTAATCTGGTTATTGCTTCTTCAGACTGGCTATGCTAACATCATCCATATGATACAGGGAAACGTTTGGCAGTTAACGTCAAACATTGTACATTAAAACTGAACAAAATATGAATCACTGGGGAAATCTGCATCTGTTGCTTTAGTGACAGTCAGCAGTGAATTACTGACTGTCACTAAAGCAACGGTGAATGCCTCTGAATCCTAGTGGGAACAGTTCAACCTGGATCTGAAGAAGAGCACCGAGAGCACAGCTCCAATGCAGCAATATCATATTCCATTTACATGTATACAGACTTTTTGCATTACTTTTTATTTTTTAATTTGATTATATATGTTGCATCGTTGGAGGAGCTCAGGTCAGAAGAATGTCATATGACAATGAAACCTTTGAATAGAATGTTGAATTGAATGTCCATCAGGTGCGCTGAGGTTCCTAAGGCTCCGGTGGTGTGCACGGTGACGGGCTCCACGGTGATCGGTTTCCACGGAGCAGTGCACTCTGTCCAGGATCGCTGTGCCTACAGTCTGATGGAGCCTGAAGGCAGCGCCAGCTTCAACCTCATGGCCGCTTTCAGGGAGCGCCGGCGTACAGATGTTCCTCTTCTGGACCACCTGATCCTGTCGCTGCCAGGTGTGACCATGTATCTGGAGCAAGGAGGAAGAGTTCGGGTACGTTAGCACGTTGTAGTTATGGGGGTGTTTGCTCAAGCAATGCTGATCATTTCCTGCTAGGAGTTACTTTGTGGTGGTGTATCAGCAAACTTCACGATGGTGTTGGAGCTGTGTGTGGCCACGCAGTCGTGGGTGAACAGGGAGTAGAGGAGAGGGCTGAGCACGCAGCCTTGAGGGGCACCGGTGTTGATAATCAGGGTGGAGGATGTGATATTTCCCACCCGCACTGCCTGGGGTCTGCCCGTCAGGAAGTTCAGGATCCAGTCACAGAGGGCGCTGTTGAGCCCGAGGTCTCTGAGCTTGATGGCCAGCTTGGAGGGCACAATGGTGTCAATCTGTTTGGTATTTTGAAAAAAAAACTTCACAGACATGTTTTATATAGGTATGGCCCTACAATATATTATTCAAATATAGCATGATAGGTCCACTTTAAATCACAGGCTCCTCCAACAGTGCAACATGAATATATATAGGACATATAACAGATACAAGTGCAAGAAATACCAGAATATAAAACAAATAGTGCAAGGTAATGATATGCTTATAAGATATGATACAGAAACTAACCCTGTGTTGTGCAGTAAGGGAGGCAGTATCAAGAAGTTCTCAGTTCAACAGAAAGTGAAGGTCATACTGCACATAGAGTGTAACTAAGAACATCACAACAGATCTTCTTAATAAGGACATTTACCAAGCTTAGCAAAGATGTGAAAGAGATAAACATTACTGTAGCAAGTAAGAAGAAGAAGTAAGTGAGTGAGTAACCATCTGAATACTTCTTGCACCACTGCTAATGCTCAACGTTTAACTCTGACCCTGTTGCTGCTATAAACGCCTGCATTTCCCCAAGGGGATAAATAAAGTTCCATCTTATCTTATCTTATCTTATTTGAAACGAATGGTAGTGACTGAATGACATAGATAATCACCTGTTAGTATGAGTGTGTGTGTGTGTTTGTGTGTGTGTCTGTGTGTGTGCAGCCTGAGTCTTCGATCAACAATCTTTTTATTGCGTTTCGACAATGCATAAGTAATATTTGTCCTTTAGAAGTGTAAAGCAAAACATATGCATACAAATGAAACAATAGTCTGTACTGATTGTATGTACAAAGAGATGCAGCCTGAGTCTTGAGTGAAGTCTAATGTGCAGCGCTCTCCTTGTCAGGGAGTTGTGTGTGTGTGTGTGTGTGTGTGTGTGTGTGTGTGTGTGTGTGTGTGTGTGTGTGTGTGTGTGGGTGTGGGTGTGGGTGTGGGGGTGTGTGTGTGTAGGTTGGTGGTGAAGCCCTGGTGCTCAGCAGCACAGCTCAGCTGATGCACGGCGTGGAGCTCTCCAAGGACCAGACTGGAGTCACTGCTAAGTTCCCGTCCTCCAACATGACTCTCTTCTTTGATGGCAACAGCGCACATGTGACAGGTACAGAGCAGTACTTCCAAACTGAATATTACATATTTATTTCTGAATAACAGCTTTAATTCTACCCTCACATCCACCAGGACTTCCTGAAGCTGTAGAGGGTTTGTGTGGCAGCCCCTCCAACTCCAGCTGGACCACCACCCCGACTGCAGAGAAGTCCTCTATCAGCCTCCCTGGGTACCGCTCAGTCCGACTGATATGACCTATTTGTCATAATGTGGATTAGGGTTCAGATGTAATGTGATCTTTGTCTCCCTCTAGCTGTGAGATTCAATACCAGGACTCAGTCGACAGCGCCATCAACTGCAACCGCTCCACCGACCAGTAAGAGCTGAGCCATGAACACCCTCGTCTTGTCATGTCATATAAGCAGCGTTGTTTCTGCAAGATCAACCAATGTAACACGGAAAACTCTTCCCTCTGAACAGCTGTAATCTCATGAGGCAGCCTCCCTTCTCCGCCTGTCACGAGCACACCGACCCAGAGCCGTACATCAGCGCCTGCACACACACTCTGTGCAGATACCCGTCAGTGGATGGGGTCGACTGCCACTTTTTGGAGGCTTACGCCAAGACCTGCAGCCTGGAAGCCAACGTGACCCTGGAGGACTGGAGGTCAACTTCTGGCTGCTGTAAGACCCTCTTTCACTTGAATATTCACAGTCGTTGTGGTTTAATACACAACTGGAAGTCCCTGTGTTTGTATAGTAGCCTGAGTATGGTCACATATACAGGATATATGTAATATGGATAGTGTGCAGTGTTTGATTCCACTTCATTCTAGGTTTATTACTTCATTCCTAGTAATAGTTTGTATAATCATTGTTATTAGTGATATTATTATGATAACTATTTAAAACTGTGTATGAAGGAAAAAATGGAAATTAAAGTAAATATAATAAAAGCATAGATTTTGTAAAATTAATTATTTTTATTTCATTTTAAATATTTTAAACTCGTCTAACTGTCATAGTTGGCTCCTCATGTTGGATGTTGTATTACGGTGTGTGTGATATCTCCTGTATAGATAGATGTTAATACATATATAACTTTTATCAATATATTTTAAATATATATTATTATAAATTGTTATTAATACTATCATGAGCTTTAGAATCCTTATCTGAGATCTGCTCACTAAGTGTGTGTGTGTGTGTGTGTGTGTGTGTGTGTGTGTGTGTGTGTGTGTGTGTGTGTGCGTGTGCGTGTGCGCGTGCGCGTGTGTGTGTGTGTGTGTGTGTGTGTGTGTGTGTGTGTGTGTGTGTGTGTGTGTGTGTGTGTGTGTGTGTGTGTGTGTGTGTGTGTGTGTGCAGCCCCCCCCCCTCTCTGTCAGCAGCCCTGCAGTAATCATGAGTTCTGTGGAGCAGAGATCTGGTCGTCGTCTCGCTGCTTCTGTCGGGCTGGGTTCTCCTCCAAGTACAGAGCCACCAAGTCTTTAGGTACGGAGCTGGAAGAGAGGCGCTCCTGAACGCATCACATGTTTCTCTAGAGACATTAGTAGTTATTCATATCATACATCTAATATCATTATATGATAGGTCATCCTGACCACAGCCCCTGAATGTACTTTTCTTTCTTTGGACTTTTGGAGCTAACCATCAGTTGGTTATTTTAGCTCGTCTTCTCCCTGACAACGGTTAACTTGAAGTGTTGCTGTGTTTGCAGGCGAGCCGCCGGTCTGCAGGCAGGGCTCGGCCACTGTGACTCTGGCTGGATGTCTGCTGGCTGACAAAGGCATCGACTTCTCCACCTTACACCTGAAAGACCCCAGCTGCAAGGGCCACATGGACCCCCAAAGCCACCTGGTGACCTTCAGCTTCGACAGCAGCAACACCTGCGGGACGGAGGTCATGGTGCGTGCTTTCCTCACAACTTAAAACCAGTTCTGGTGTCAACCTCTTTCTAGTTCAGGGGCCACATACAGCCACATGTGATCTCCAGTGGGCCGGACCAGTGAGATCACAGCATAATGACCTATAAATAACCACTACTCTAAACCGTTCCCTTTTGGTTCAGTCCAACAAAGTGTATTCTTAAAATGATCACATTTAATGAACTATCTTTTTACAAAACATTAGGAAGTAATAGAAAGTAACAAAATACTGTTTCCGTGTTTATCTTGCAGCGAGTAACCCTTACAAAAACAACAGAGCAACAAGAAACACTGACAGGTCCTAAAAGTGCTTTAGTGCCAGGAGGTTTCCTGCAGTGTCATCCTGAACATCAGTCTTCTCCACACTTCAGGAAACCAGTCGTTATAGGATAACCCTTTATCAAAGCTTCAATGCCACACTTTCCATTACAGGGCTCATCACTTCCTGTTGTCCTGTAGAGGACATGTCCCACTAGTTTCCTTTATTGATGAAAGAAGGACACACGTGATCCATGAACTGGATGATAAAGATATGGCCGTCTGGAGGGAAATGTTCGGGAGTAATGTTTGAGCTGTGATCAAATGAACTGATTACTTTTTCTTTCACAATGCAGAAGAACGGCAGCCAGACCGTCTACGAGAACTCCATCGTGTCGAGCAACCGCTCATCGGGCGGCGTCATCACGCGCCAAGACCAACTCAAGATCGACTTCTCCTGCTTTTACAAACAGCCGGAGGTCAAGAGTGTGTCCTTCACTATCAGAGACAGGTGAGGGTCCTCCTGGTCCTTAATGCACCACAGCTTAACATTCACAATGCTGAAGAGTGTGTGTGTGTGTGTGTGTGTGTGTGTGTGTGTGTGTGTGTGTGTGTGTGTGTGTGTGTGTGTGTGTGTGTGTGTGTGTGTGTGTGTGTGTGTGTGTGTGTGTGTGTGTGTGTGTGTGTGTGTGTGTGTGTGTGTGTGTGTGTGTGTGTGTGTGTGTGTGTGTGTGTGTGCAGCTCTGTGGTGCAGCACATCGTATCTGGAGAGTGGAACTACACTCTGACGATGAAAGCCTTCAGTGACGCCGGCCTCCTGCAGAATGTTGGGCCGAAAACAGAGATCAAGCTGAACCAGAAGGTCTGGCTGCAGCTGGAGGCGGGGGGGCTGGACGCCAACAGGGTCGCCATGGTGACAGACTCCTGCTGGGCAACCAATCAGGCGTCACCTGATGATTCGCTACGATACGACCTCATCATCAACGGGTGAGGAAATAAACTCTGACTGTTAGAACAAAATAAACTCTGACTGTTAGAACAAAATAAACTCTGACTGTTAGAACAAAATAAACTCTGACTGTTAGAACAAAATAAACTCTGACTGTTAGAACAAAATAAACTCTGACTGTTAGAACAAAATAAACTCTGACTGTTAGAACAAAATAAACTCTGACTGTTAGAACAACATAAACTCTGACTGTTAGAACAAAATAAACTCTGACTGTTAGAACAACATAAACTCTGACTGTTAGAACAAAATAAACTCTGACTGTTAGAACAAAATAAACTCTGACTGTTAGAACAAAATAAACTCTGACTGTTAGAACAAAATAAACTCTGACTGTTAGAACAAAATAAACTCTGACTGTTAGAACAACATTTTACATTTTTTTATTACATGTTACTTGTTAGACGCTTTTATCCAAAGCGACTTACAAATACAAAAAATAAACTCTGAGACTTCATCTTGTGTATTTCCTGTCTCCGGGCAGATGTCCGAACCCTGCTGATGATACGGTGCAGATGCAGGGAAACGGACAGGGAACGTCCAGCGTTTTCTCCTTCAACATGTTCGAGTTCTCTGGAGGAAGCAGTGAAATCTACCTGCACTGCAAACTGGAGCTGTGCCCCACACAGGGCCAGGCCTGCACTCCGGTACACACAGAGTACTAATACACAGAGTACACAGAGTACTAATACACAGAGTACTAATACACAGAGTACACAGAGTACTAATACACAGAGTACTAATACACAGAGTACATAGAGTACTAATACACAGAGTACACAGAGTACTAATACACAGAGTACTAATACACAGAGTACATAGAGTACTAATACACAGAGTACACAGAGTACTAATACACAGAGTACTAACACACAGAGTACTAATACACAGAGTACATAGAGTACTAATACACAGAGTACACAGAGTACTAATACACAGAGTACTAATACACAGAGTACATAGAGTACTAATACACAGAGTACTAGTACACAGAGTACTAACACACAGAGTACTAACACACAGAGTACTAATACACAGAGTACACAGAGTACTAGTACACAGAGTACTAACACACAGAGTACTAATACACAGAGTACTAATACACAGAGTACACAGAGTACTAATACACAGAGTACACAGAGTACTAATACACAGAGTACACAGAGTACACAGAGTACTAATACACAGAGTACTAATACACAGAGTACACAGAGTACTAATACACAGAGTACTAATACACAGAGTACTAATACACAGAGTACACAGAGTACTAATACAGAGTACACAGAGTACTAATACACAGAGTACTAATACACAGAGTACACAGAGTACTAATACACAGAGTACTAATACACAGAGTACACAGAGTACTAATACACAGAGTACTAATACACAGAGTACACAGAGTACTAATACACAGAGTACACAGAGTACTAACACACATAGTACTAATACACGGAGTACTAATACACAGAGTACTAATACACAGAGTACTAACACACAGAGTACTAACCCACAGAGTATTAGTAAACGTGTGTTCTAACTTCCTGTCTGTGAAGCTAACTTCCTGTCTGATAAGCTCACTTCCTGTCTGTGAGCTAACTGTGAAGCTAACTTCCTGTCTGTGAAGCTAACTTCCTGTCTGTAAAGCTCACTTCCTGTCTGTAAAGCTAACTTCCTGTCTGTGAAGCTCACTTCCTGTCTGTGTACAGAGCTGTGGGGGGGCAGCTCGCAGGAGGCGCAGATCTGCTAAATACGCTGATGGGAACGCGGCCCTCATCACTATGGGATGGAGAAACTGAAGAGCTTTGCATGGTAGGCAGCTCCTTCATTTGTTCTTCCTAACGAGTTCCTTGATTAACACGATGTTTAACGAGTTCCTTGATTAACACGATGTTTAACGAGTTCCTCGATTAACACGATGTTTAACGAGTTCCTTGATTAACACGATGTTTAACGAGTTCCTTGATTAACACGATGTTTAACGAGTTCCTTGATTAACACGATGTTTAACGAGTTCCTTGATTAACACGATGTTTAACGAGTTCCTTGATGAACACGATGTTTAACGAGTTCCTTGATTAACACGATGTTTAACGAGTTCCTTGATTAACACGATGTTTAACGAGTTCCTTGATGAACACGATGTTTAACGAGTTCCTTGATTAACACGATGTTTAACGAGTTCCTTGATTAACACGATGTTTAACGAGTTCCTTGATGAACACGATGTTTAACGAGTTCCTTGATTAACACGATGTTTAACGAGTTCCTTGATTAACACGATGTTTAAAGAGTTCCTTGATGAACACGATGTTTAACGAGTTCCTTGATTAACACGATGTTTAACGAGTTCCTTGATGAACACGATGTTTAACGAGTTCCTTGATTAACACGATGTTTAACGAGTTCCTTGATTAACACGATGTTTAACGAGTTCCTTGATTAACACGATGTTTAACGAGTTCCTTGATGAACACGATGTTTAACGAGTTCCTTGATTAACACGATGTTTAACGAGTTCCTTGATTAACACGATGTTTAACGAGTTCCTTGATTAACACGATGTTTAAAGAGTTCCTTGATGAACACGATGTTTAACGAGTTCCTTGATTAACACGATGTTTAACGAGTTCCTTGATGAACACGATGTTTAACGAGTTCCTTGATTAACACGATGTTTAACGAGTTCCTTGATTAACACGATGTTTAACGAGTTCCTTGATGAACACGATGTTTAAAGAGTTCCTTGATGAACACGATGTTTAACGAGTTCCTTGATGAACACGATGTTTAACGAGTTCCTTGATGAACACGATGTTTAACGAGTTCCTTGATTAACACGATGTTTAACGAGTTCCTTGATTAACACGATGTTTAACGAGTTCCTTGATGAACACGATGTTTAACGAGTTCCTTGATGAACACGATGTTTAACGAGTTCCTTGATTAACACGATGTTTAACGAGTTCCTTGATGAACACGATGTTTAACGAGTTCCTTGATGAACACGATGTTTAACGAGTTCCTTGATTAACACGATGTTTAACGAGTTCCTTGATGAACACGATGTTTAACGAGTTCCTTGATGAACACGATGTTTAACGAGTTCCTTGATGAACACGATGTTTAACGAGTTCCTTGATTAACACGATGTTTAACGAGTTCCTTGATGAACACGATGTTTAACGAGTTCCTTGATGAACACGATGTTTAACGAGTTCCTTGATGAACACGATGTTTAACGAGTTCCTTGATTAACACGATGTTTAACGAGTTCCTTGATGAACACGATGTTTAACGAATTCCTTGATGAACACGATGTTTAACGAGTTCCTTGATGAACACGATGTTTAACGAGTTCCTTGATGAACACGATGTTTAACGAATTCCTTGATTAACACGATGTTTAACGAGTTCCTTGATGAACACGATGTTTAACGAATTCCTTGATTAACACGATGTTTAACGAGTTCCTCGATGAACACGATGTTTAACGAGTTCCTCGATGAACACGATGTTTAACGAGTTCCTCGATGAACACGATGTTTAACGAGTTCCTCGATTAACACGATGTTTAAAGAGTTCCTCGATTAACACGATGTTTAACGAGTTCCTTGATTAACACGATGTTTAACGAGTTCCTTGATGAACACAAAGCAGCAAAGTATAAACCATGACTCAGCAGTGTCTCTGTGTTCTCAGCTGATTCCTGACGGTGGAAATGAAGGTCTTGTTGCTGTGAAACTGAGCCGGCACATTATCTGAGATTATTCCTGAGGACTCCAGTTATTCTGAGTTTTAACTTCTTTATGATGTGGGGGAAATAATCAAAAGGGGTTATTTTACTATGTGCACTAGTATATATATATATATATATATATATATATATATATATATATATATATATATATATATATATATATATAATTTCTTCTTTAATATACTGTCTGTTTGTAAATGTGCACAGCCTGAAAGCTACCTGAGTGTTAAAGAAGGGAAACAGGAAGTGAATGAGAACTGAAATGTGGATGACTACCCAGGAAGAGGATCAGATCAGATGTAATTCCTCAGAGCACGCTGTTGTACTTTTATTATGATTTCATTACTATGAGCAAAATGTATTACTTTATTTAGTCCAATGATAATAAGATTGAGATATGTAACATCTTTAGGGGAATAATAGAAGTGAAGCATACAGCAGCATTACGCAACAACATCCCCTCCAATGAAACACACAGGATCAGCTGATACGAGGAACTCCTACACAACACAAGTCATTCAGTGAAAGATCACCTCTCTGCCATTAGACCCAGATTAGATGAGACGTATTACCTGTCACTGCTGGCAACATCAGGACATATACGAGTACTGCTCAGATCAAATGACGGTATAGCCAAACATCGATGTATTATTTACAATGATCCCAATCCACAGCAACATGGTCTCAAACTCTACGCTCATTTGATATATTTGTTTTTCCAAGAATAAAATGAAGCGCAGATCAAAAATGAAAACACGAAGAAGCACAAAGCGTCTTAACTTGAGACGTTGTGAGTTTTAAAGAAGTGAATTATTATCAGACTGAAGTCATTCCCAAAGGAGAGGTTGTTGCACGCTGTTGTACCTTTACTAGGGTTGTATTACTATGAGCCAAACATACTTTACTTTATTTAGTAATACATGGATTATATTTAGAAATGTAACATCTTAATATGTGTCCGATGAAGAAAAGTGATCAGAAAAGGGTTTTATTAGGATGATTTTATTACTATACGCAGAAAGGTTAGGGTTAGTCCACCAAGTGATGTGACGTATGAATACCATTCAGTCATTGAGCAATTATATCTATAAATGTAACAATTAGATTTAGAAATGTAACACCTTTAGTGAAATAACAGAAGTGTCTAATGAAGGGTTTAGAGGGGTTCTTTTACTATGTGCACTGGTATATATATATATATATATATATATATATATATATATATATATCATTTCTTCTTTAATATACTGTCTGTTTGTAAATGTGCACAGCCTGAAAGCTACCTGAGTGTTAAAGAAGGGAAACAGGAAGTGAATGAGAACTGAAATGTGGATGACTACCCAGGAAGAGGATCAGATCAGATGTAATTCCTCAGAGCACGCTGTTGTACTTTAATTGTGATTTTATTACTAATGGAACCAAAAACAATTAATAAAGTGAGTGGGAAAAAGAAACATGAGTCTCAGTCGTTTATTCAAATCAAATCAAATCAAATCAAATCAGGTTTTATTTATAAAGCACATTTAAAAGCGATGTTTGGTCGAGCCAAAGTGCTGTACATGTAATAAAAACACATTACTACAATCACAATAAACGACGATAAATTACAACAGATATATATTAAAAACAAAATAAAAATGAAACACACGGAAAAGTCAGGAGTCGTGCTCCGCTCTAACTAGAAGGCCAGAGAGAAGAAGTGTGTTTTTAGTTTAGATTTAAAACCCCTAGGGTCTGGGCCGACCTCACATGGAGGGGCAGAGTGTTCCAGAGCCTAGGGCCAGCTGCTGAGAAGGCTCGGTGCCCTCTGGTTTTGAGCCTGGTCTTGGGCACTACCAGCAGCAGCTGGTCAGCAGACCTTAAAGCTCTGGCTGGGGTGTAGCGCTGGAGGAGTTCAGCTATATAGGCCGGAGCCAGCCCGTTTAGTGCTTTAAAAACAAATAAAAGGATTTTAAAATCAATTCTGAACCGAACTGGAAGCCAGTGTAGTGAGGCCAGAATAGGGGTGATGTGGTCACGCTTTTTGTGGCCAGTCAGCAAACGTGCAGCAGCGTTTTGGACTAGCTGTAAGCGTTTGATTGAGGCCTGGTCCATACCCACATACAGAGCGTTGCAATAGTCCAGTCTCGAGGTTACAAAGGCGTTAATAACCCTTTCCAAGGTTGCGGTCCAAAAAAGATGACCTCGGTCTTGCTCTCGTTGAGGTTGAGAAAGTTTTTGCTCAGCCAGGATTTTATCTCTGCTAAGCAGTCCATCAACTGCTGTAGTGAGTGTGTGACATTTGCTTTGAGAGGCAGATAGATCTGTACATCGTCGGCGTAGCAGTGGAAGGGAATGTTATGTTTTGTGAGTATTGAACCTAGGGGCAGTATGTACAGTAGAAAAAGGATGGGGCCCAGAATCGAGCCTTGGGGAACCCCACAGGTAAGAGGGGCTTTGGCAGAGGAGAAGGCACCTAGCTGTACCGAGAAGCTACGGTCTGTCAGGTAGGACCTGAACCATGCAAGGGCAGAGCCTGTGATGCCAGCGGACTGTTCAAGCCGTGACAGCAGGATGCTATGGTCCACAGTGTCAAAGGCAGCTGTCAGGTCTAACAGCACCAAGACAGCTGGGCTGCCTGAGTCGGCGGCTAGGAGCAGATCATTAAAAACTCTTAAAGGGCTGTTTCAGTGCTGTGCATGGGTTTGAAGCCAGACTGAAACTTTTCATGGATTCCATGGAGGGTTAAAAAAGACTGCAGCTGGGCGTAGACTACTCGCTCCAGGGCTTTTGATAAAAAAGGTAGCTGGGAGATGGGCCTAACATTTGCGAGAATGGAGGGGTCGAGATTTTTCTTTCATTGAGAGTGTGAAAACTCTGAAACACCAAATCAAACCTGGCAACCCGTTCTCATTACCAGCTGATCTGAAAAGCCTTAATTATCATCCTGTTCAAAGTGTAATAATCTGCTTCATGAGACCATTTTAAATAATGTGTTTATAATTAGTTTTTACCTTTTATTTTTATAATCATTTTTACAAAAATGCTCTGAAATTTCCTCCAAAATGTTTCCTGTAAATTCTATGTTTGCACATTTCTTTTGGCAGTCGCTGGAAAGTTGGAAATGAAGCTTTTATTTGTTATGTTCTTGCGGCTGTTTGCATCTTTATGAAGAATTCTTTTGTAAATTGTGATAAAGGATATTTATAATGTACAGTATATGGTGCGACTCAAAGATAAGGGAATTCAAACGTTCTCTTTTCCAGAACTGCTTTTCTCACTTTAAAGGGAAATAATGCAGCAGCTTTATTTTAATACTGAAAATTAAAGATGTTTTTTGACTCGTGCTTCAGTGTCTATCTTTATATTCAATTCATTATTAAAGCTTCTCTCAGATCTGGAGATCCTTTCTCTGTTTTAAACCTCTGACCAAATGAACAGCGAATGAACAGCCCGGCAGATGCTCAACATACTACAACCATTCACTCAGTAATGAAAGGTTTTTAGTTTTGATGGTAATAGAGACCTACAACAGTGTTGAGCTTGAAAGGACTTCATATTGAGTCATGTTCTATATGTACAGCGACCTGAGGACATTATACGCAGGATCCTCATCCTCGTTGTGCTTGAGGACGGGGATCCTGCCATCTGCACGCTCGCCCTAACCTGCAAACAAATCAGTGACATTGTGAGCCAGCAGTTCTTTCAAGAGGAGGGCCACTTCAGCTGGCTGGACAGTTAGTTCAATAAGTGTCTCCCCCCCCCCCCCCCCCCCCGTAATGTGAAAAGTATGACAAGATAATACTCCTTGGAGTGACTTAGTGCACTAAAAGGGTCATTGACTAAGACTAAGATCAGCTCAGTTGAAGTTTTGTTCATTTTCTGTCTGAATCATATTTGTCTTTTGACACTTCAATGCAGGCGTGGTGAACTGGAGAAACACTTCAGATGAGCACAAAGGGAAATACAGGAGGGCCTACAACATGTCAATGTGCAGCAGACTACAGTGCAGCAGTCTGCATGAAGACTGTGGTGCAGGCTACAGAGGAAGAGGACGAAGAGGAATCCTTCAGGGTTTCTACTCCGAGGACCACTTCCCCGGGTTCTGCAGCTGGTGATGGAGACACAAGTCTGAGTAGTGATGGAGACACAAGTCTGAGTGGTGATGGAGACACAAGTCTGAGTGGTGATGGAGACACAAGTCTGAGTGGTGATGGAGACACAAGTCTGAGTAGTGATGGAGACACAAGTCTGAGTGGTGATGGAGACACAAGTCTGAGTGGTGATGGAGACACAAGTCTGAGTGGTGATGGAGACACAAGTCTGAGTAGTGATGGAGACACAAGTCTGAGTGGTGATGGAGACACAAGTCTGAGTAGTGATGGAGACACAAGTCTGAGTGGTGATGGAGACACAAGTCTGAGTGGTGATGGAGACACAAGTCTGAGTGGTGATGGAGACACAAGTCTGAGTGGTGATGGAGACACAAGTCTGAGTGGTGATGGAGACACAAGTCTGAGTGGTGATGGAGACACAAGTCTGAGTGGTGATGGAGACACAAGTCTGAGTGGTGATGGAGACACAAGTCTGAGTGGTGATGGAGACACAAGTCTGAGTGGTGATGGAGACACAAGTCTGAGTGGTGATGGAGACACAAGTCTGAGTGGTGATGGAGACACAAGTCTGAGTGGTGATGGAGACACAAGTCTGAGTAGTGATGGAGACACAAGTCTGAGTGGTGATGGAGACACAAGTCTGAGTGGTGATGGAGACACAAGTCTGAGTGGTGATGGAGACACAAGTCTGAGTGGTGATGGAGACACAAGTCTGAGTGGTGATGGAGACACAAGTCTGAGTAGTGATGGAGACACAAGTCTGAGTGGTGATGGAGGACACAAGTCTGAGTGGTGATGGAGACACAAGTCTGAGTAGTGATGGAGACACAAGTCTGAGTGGTGATGGAGACACAAGTCTGAGTGGTGATGGAGACACAAGTCTGAGTGGTGATGGAGACACAAGTCTGAGTGGTGATGGAGACACAAGTCTGAGTGGTGATGGAGACACAAGTCTGAGTGGTGATGGAGACACAAGTCTGAGTGGGTAGATCTTTTCTGAATGTGCCACACA